CCTATTTTCCACTTTAAACCGGGGGGAATAACAATAATAAAACTAAAAGGTTACATAGTTAGTTAAATGAAAAAAGGTTAATTAGTGAATCTTTGTTCATCAAAACAACGTCAAATTCATGTGTAATAAAAGTGACGTAATGTCTACACCAGATCTATGGAAGATTTCATTAAGACATTTCAGGAAGTAAATCTTTATAAAGCCGGTTATCAAGTCTTCTGAACATATGAAAATGACAATCAGCAATTAATTGAGCTTGGAACGTCATCCACTCATCAACATTATATCAATGCTTGTTATATATCAAATAAACTTACAAAACATGAAATTGTGTTCGATTAGACTGTCCACATTCTATTCCTTCATGATAATTTACTGTTTGAATATATTCTTTGTTTTCACTTTGAATTTGATTAGATAACAGAAAAGTCAAAAGTCAAATTTCACTGGTGTTCAGATGTAACTATCTTCAGTGTGAACCCTAAGAAAATGATTTGTTTGAACATTATTATTATGATGTCATTTATTATACAGGGTTAAAATGTGGTTCTTATATTTCGTACTGTTAAAATTATCCTCTTCTCAAACAGTCGTTTCGTGTGGACAATGTGTGGCGGCCTGTTCAAAACCTGGGCTACTGAAATACTCCATCATTATAGCGTATGTAATATTCCTCGTGTTCAGCTTGTTTTAGTCTAATGGTGTTTGTTTTATTGACAAGAGTACTCAAAATGTCTACAGCCCTACTGATTCTCAAGTTTGAATAAAAAAGCGAAATTATGCGTGGCAACGTCTCACAATGCATCAGATAGCTCTTTCTGAGATTTTTGTTTTAGTTAAAACTACCCGTACCTGAAGAACTTTGGACGAAGAGAAATTATGCGAGCGACAGTTTCTACTGAAAAATTCTTTAAACTTATATAGGCTTTCTTCAGAAGTAAGCCATTGCTATTACTATTATTTTGTATGAAAACTATTCACTACGAGTCGTTTATATGTTTCATTTTTAAAATATTCAAATATACATTCGTGGTTAAATGAAAGAAAGTATTTAGAAAGCTCAAAACCTGTAAGTTCTCTCAAACTATTTATTTTGTAAATAAAACGTCGATCTGAACGAAGAATATTCTTTTCAATACGTTCTCCCCCATTCAGGTTCTTAAAATTATAAAATATAATACTTGTTATCGTTACAATAAATGCCAGTTATGCAGCGGATACATTTTTAACGTAGAATAACAGATTAGCAGTTATGGGGTGTCAAAATAAATATATAGAGCGCACGCCTAGGCAGGTTCGTCCACAGGTTCGAGAACATTTACCAGCTTGGTTCAGCTGGGGGGTAAATTGAGTGCATAAAAGGCTCGATCCTGTCACACTTGGTCGATTGATACTGGACATCGTATCGATGTCAACACAGCTTCCACGGTTATATGCCGAATTCCGAAGTCGTTATCACGTACAGTTTGCCTACGTCTCCTACACATAGCTGAAGCTGTTGCAATAAGATCATCTACTAAACCGGAACTTTGTATCCAAAAGGAACACGTCCAGACGCTGTTCCTTTCGTAGCCAAACTTGGATTAATGATTCTTTTTCTCACCAGGAGTGCTCCTTCCCCTTAACCCTCTTGGTTTTTTTCCTTTGCTTATTATTACAAATATTATTATTATAATTATTATTATTTTTCGTCACAATGTATCCCCTTCATGCAAATATTCACCCAATACTATTGAATTTTTCATTTATACTATCCGGACTTATTATTAGTGACATTATCTCTTTTCTCAATATATGCCTCCACCTGTTTCATTTCACACATTCGTTATTTCATTATGAACCTCTCATTCCAGTCTCACTATCTCCTGTTTAACACAGATCACTTTGAACTAGCCACTCACCTGACACCTTTAATAATCTTGAACTGACTTGACAATTTTTCTACCCCACACTCTACAATTTTATTATGACTAATCATCACTATTGTCTTAAATCTTACAATATTTTGTAATCGATTACAGCCTGGCACGTATGTCATACTCAAATACAACTATTTATTTTGACGCCCTATAACTGCTAATCTGTTATTCTGCGTTAAAAAATGTATCTACCGCATAACTGACTAGCTATCGTTATTGTAACGACAACAAAATTTAAATTTTAAAATTGTAAGAACCTGAAGAGGAGAAATTATTTGAAAGAATATTCTTCGTTCATTCAGATTGACTTTTAATTCATAATATGGGAATATTTCAAACTATCAAATTTATTATATAAATCAAACTTGTAATTTCGAAATTTATACAGTGTGAAGTGAAATTTTTTGATTACAGCGACCTATAGAAACCGAAATGATTCATACCAGAAAAAGTTACTATAAATAGTAGTCGACAAACTAAGCTTAAGTGGTTGAGGTTATATATACATATATACTGTGACGAATTATCCCCTAGATCTGTGTATATTTTATAGTGTGAATTTGATTTCAAGTTGATACCAGCCCACTTAAGTAGCTAGAGAGAAATCGCCTGTTCCAACTAGTTTGGCTCATCTTCAAAAGAATTCAAACACCCGTTTGGTGTTTAGATCACTTTCATTCGGCTGGCTGGCTGGCCAACAAGTACTACCACTGGTTGATATCACTGGTATACTGTTATTTTATTTTTTGATTATGGCTTGAAACCACACCGTATTTTTGGTACAACTATGGAGTTTTCGGCATATGATATCGGTAGCCCACATTTTGCAGGCCGACCATAGATGTCAGGTGTGCGTCGCCAGGAGATCAAACCTCGGATCATATGCATGGTCTGCGAGGGTTCTCATCACTGTGCCACCGATGGACATGTCACTAATGTCAATCAATCAATAGTATGTAGCCCCATACATTTAACTTTTTCATATGATCAGATACCCTAAATACGATGTCGGTGATAATTCCTCTTCAAAGGAGAACCCGGCAGAAACATGTAGATATTTTCTTATTTTTATATATAATGAAATACAATAACTATCTGTGGATTACATAACAGTAGGTTTTGTGTCTTACAGAATTGGTCCTCCAACCATTTCTTGTACGACCAATCGTATCCATGGTTTTATTGTAGCCATAATTTTATTTATTTTTATTTTTGATTAGAGCTTGATTCCACACCGAATATTTTTGGTACACGTATGGAATTTTCAGCATGTGATATCCGTAGCTTAAATTTTGCAAACCGACCATAGATACCAGGTGTGCGTTAGCAGGGGTTCGAACCCCTGGGTTAGCGAGAATCGTAACCACTATGCCACTGAACAAAAAAATTAATCACTGAGCCTATTTGAAACGTATGTCACCTTCACTGCTCGACAATATCAAGTGAATGACCTTAAGGTGAAACTTAAACAAATATGTACATATTTTTTGACACATCATACAGTTTAACTCAATTCGACAAAACCAATAATATGAAATCCTAAAAAACTGTCAAATTACTAAAAAATAACAACAACAAGAATACCAACTATAGCTTCAAATCCCCCAATCAATCAATCAGTCGGAACAAAAGATATTTGGATGATAAAGAAATACTAATAATCGATTAGATCTTAGATATAGACAAAAATACGCGCAGTAGACGGAGATTCCGTTTCTTCCTGTGTCTCTTCAAAGCCAAAGTTCACACATCATTAAAGCTAGACATGTTACAAACTATTTAATGTCATAATTAATCGTTAACTAGTTAGTTACTTAGCCAGAAAAAATGTATAATTGACTTTCTAAGTGTTTCAGGTCAACGGTTGTGCTTTTTTAAAAATAAACTTGAACATTGAACACGCGTGACATATATATATATATATATATATATATATTATCGGTATTTTTAGAAAACAGAAGGATACTCAGACACTTGTTGATTACAAACCAGTAATCATTGAAGAAATAATCCTTAAGAGTAAAAGTAAACGTGTGTGTATTCTCAGCAAAAATACAAACAAACTAAAAACAAACAGAATCTTACTTACATTTCCTGATAATAATAATTATTTTTGTTTTAATTGTTTAATGTAATATATGCGGCGGTTATATTGAAAATTGAATTCATGCTAATATGCTAATACGGTGTATAATTTGTTTGTTTATTTGCCTATTTGTTTGTTTGTCTGTTTGTTGTGGCAAAAAGCTTAAATATTTTAAACAGTAAACAAAACCAAATTAATGTTTGGATAGGGCATAACTCTTCTTAGGCGAAAAAGTCGTGTGCCTACATTTAAATCTTGTCAAAATATTACGTTGCTTAAATCTTCATTGTGACATACACATATATCTATCTATCTGTATGTCGAGGAAAAATAACTTATAGCAATAGTAATAATAATAATAATTTTTATTATTATCAAAAGAATTAAGCGTGGGTAGTAATAGTACCACTACTATTACTTCTAATGCTAAAACTACCACTACTACACAGGTTATCATTACGCCTAAAAATCAGACGTGAATGCAGATTTTAAAATATTGATAAATATACAGAATATATATATATATATATATATACATATATATGTACATAAAAAACTAAGAATATTATTATAATTATTGTCATTACTGTTCATACCACTACTACCTGAATTGACTAGTCAGTCAGTAGTCATCCTACGCAAAATTATTTTATTGGTTCACAAATCAAGGTTGAAAATAATGAGTTAATTTTTCCTATAGAACCTTATGTAATTGTATAATTGTGTAATTATTATTACTATTATTATTATTAATAATAATAATGATAAAAAAAATGATAAAAATAAGAATGAACGTAAAATCTGATTGGTTAATACAGAACATTTTATCCAAGTGTATAATTGTATATAACAAAATGTGTGATAATATGTTGTCAATGTTTTGTAAACTTTACTAATATTGTGATTAGTAGTAATATTATTATTATCATCATTAATTAATCTGCTAAAAATATTAAAATATACATAGACAGATACATCTTAGAAGTTTTAAAGATAACTCCTAATAATAATAATAATGAGGAGTAACAGAAGTAAATCTTACTGGTCTTTTGGTCATGATAACGGCGATGATGATGGTGATAATGATGATGGTGACGGTGGGGATAATGATAATGGCAATGAATCATCGTCACCGTCGAATTCTTCAACATTTATTAGCGTTACTACTACTTCCACTACTACTACTAGTGATATCTGCACTAGTACTACAACTGCAACGACTACTACCCTCAGTTGTCGTAGTACGACAATGAGTAGTGATATGCGTACAACAATAACAACATGTTCTATTTTATCAATAACTGATTTGCCTCACACCTTGACGACAACAACACATTGTTTAAATCCAACACATTTTACGCCGGAAACATTTACTGAAAGAGGTTGTGAATCACATATATCATCATCATCAAAAGGATTATTTTGTGAATCTATACCAATATGTAAGTTGACCACTTAGTTTAACTGATTTCATGAATATGATTTTGTGTTGTGTTTATCTATTTAATAATTTTCAATTGTTTTTACACTTTAATTTCTTGAACATTTCAGCCATTGGTGTGGGATTTTTGCTTTCAGCTGTTTCCTTTAGTGTTCTTTTAGTTACTTACTGAAATCTTATTCTTTAATCGTCTGTAGATAATCCTAGAATGACATTGTGGTTGAACCTGTCTGAGGTGTAGTGTAGTAGAATGCCACTGTTTTTATTGAAGAATTCCACTCATCTGAAATTCTCAGTCAGTCTTCACTAGGCCGACTGAATAAAACTGTTTGAAATCCAATATAAGTGAAATTTCATCTGTGATATTACTCATGATTACATTGTCTGTCAAAGGCTTATTTATGTATGGTATTTTGATAAATTTTTGTACGATTCATAAGTGAAAATTTCGACTGTATCGCTAAGTTGATAAGACTATAGCATACTTTAATCACAAAAATTAGAACAACCAACCAAATAGTGGGTTTTAAACACATTCTCTACCTAACCTTACTTCTTTCTGGCCTTAAGCTAGCTAGAGCTACCTAACTAACTGCCCGCTAGACAGACATTGTATCATGCATATAATGCCTAAATTAAATGATGTTCATGATTCGAATCGATCAAAAGAAACTCAAGTGTTATCCAACTTGAAAATCAGTCTTCCCTTTCATAATCCACTTTTAAAAAAAAGTCAAAAACGTTTCATATCAATGACGACAATAAAATTTAAGAGATTGCCTAGGTGATCCATTCTATGAAATGTAAGTTTTTTGTAAAAAAAAAAGAAAACAACAAACTAACTTATTCATGCCTTTTTGAGTAAAGTAAATGACCATTTTTTTTAATTCTGTACTTAGTGACTTTATTAATTATCTCTTACCTAAATGAGTGTCATGTCTGCGGAGTACATAAAAAAATCAATATAGAGTCTGTTGTACGTCTACATATACATATATATATATATATGTATATGAGAAATCAGCTGATTACTGTTATTAACACGCAAAAATAAAATTATTCCAGTTAGACATATTGAAAAAAAAATAATATTGAAGTGAGCCTTAAAGAACCAAAGAAAGAAAGCAAAAAAAAACAGTGAAAGACATCCTATTCTCCTCAGTGATACATTTTATTTTTATTCTTCTCTGTATTTAGGATATATTCACCGGTATATGTCGACATATATAAAAGTTTATCTTTATGCTTTGTGCGTCGATGACACAGTGGTTAAGATGCTCGTCGAACATGCACATGGTCCGGCGGGGTTCGATCATCGGCCACCGATGCACTCCTCGCTAAGCCAGAAATAATGCTGGTAAAGAGGAAAGGTTGAGTGTGAGTGAGGCTGACAACCTTATCCTGTAAAAAATTAAAAACACTGGCTACAGAAACTTCAAACCTCTAGCTTGAAGCCTTCCTTATGTTTCACTGGGAACGTGAAGGAATAAAAAGAATCTTTATGCCTTTATAATCGTGTCTCCCTAAAGTGGTTATATGATTATAATTTCGGCTTTCACATTTATATCTGTGAGCAGAAATTTGAAATGTAATACAGGTAGTGTTCATCATTTTGTTTACCGCTGTTTCTCTTTCTTTCTCTCCCGCTCGCTCGCTTGCTCTCTCCGCTTCTTGCTATCCGTCTTGCTTTATACGCACACACACACACACACACACGCACTTACATTTACACTGTGAGTAGTGGTTTTTGGTTGACAAGTTCACCGACGTTTAGGGGGCTTTTATTCATCACTTTGAAAGTTGACATTCAACATAATTTATCAGTTGAATAATAATTAGTGATATTATGTATGTTTTTATGTCCATTTTGTTTTTCAGTTGGAAAGATCCAGAATTACAGTGTCTTTCAAAATCTTTAAGTGTTAAAAGAATTAGCAGTCACTTGTGTATGATGCATATATATTTGTAAATACCGCAAAAACCGATGACTGAAAGCAAGTTGAGCTTGAGTCTACTAATTCACTTTAGTTTACTTTACACAAAGTAGCTAAGGTGGCTAGTTTGTCCCTGACATTATCCAGTCTTCTTGTACCGACTCCTGTCGATTAAAAAACAACAATAATAACAACAACAACAACAAAACAAAGAAATGGTGTCAATTGGAGTCAAACTGGTTCATGCTGTTGCTATAGTTTCCTGCAGATAGTGTAGTGACAGACAGAGGAGTATTTGTTAGAATACACTTTCAAAGTATTACCTAGATTAACTTGACTTAACCTAATATTATCTTAGAATAGACAGGTATATATAATTACCATTAATTAGTGCAGACGGCTACTATGTCTGGTCTTGTATTGCTTCTATTGTCGTTCGTTCATCTGTGACGAATATTTATCAGTTGATGCTGTTTTCTTTCTTTCCTCAAAGTTTTCTTCAATCATTGAAAAAAATCAATGAATAAATGTACAGTAAATTCCTTACCGCAAAAGGACAGTCAGTGTATCACGGCGGTTATATGCGTACGTACTGAGAGTCTTTCAATAAAAGGGTTATTTCGGAAGGACAATTTAAATAATTTGTATACTGGCTTTTTAATAATAACAATAATAATTTGCTTTATTCTAAAACAGTACTTGTGATACAGAATGGAATTCTCAGCATTTCACTACAGTATTGCATCCAGTTAGTACATTAACAATAAATAAATTTCTACATAGATTAAGGTAATGTCAGTTTCATTCTGACAACAACATATTGGCACGTCAGTAGCAAAATCAAACGTGAACAGAGTGTTTGAAAGTGTTAGAAAAGTAGATGCTAGCATATTTACTGGCGTAAGCGGTAACAAAACGGTCGAGATGTTTTAATAGAGTTAGTAAGGAAAAAAGAAACAAAGCAGCACATAACAAAAAAGAGCAAAGGAAAAGAAAGATAGAAAACGTTGTACCTATAAATGATATGAGTTGGAAAGACGAGATCCAATTGTTCTACTGACTGCTTAATAAGTTATAGGTACCACGCCTAATGCTTTCATTATCTCACAGAACACGAACTAAGGAGGGTGTGGTTGAGTTGGGATTTTGTACTTGCTATTGCGAGCATGTAATTTTCTATATAGGCTTCTGGTTCTCCCTGATGCGATACAAGGGGAGAGTTGTGAATGAAGAGGGTGGGGTGTGAGTTAGATAGAATAGATTGAGCCCATTTTTCACATGAGTCCAAGTCCCTGTCAACCAGAATATTATCAAGCTGGCTAAGTGGCACGTTGCTTACCCTGGTGACAACCTTTAACATCCTGCGTAATAAGGTATAGTCTTTCTTCAGTAGCCCTGTAAAAACTAAGGGGGAACATTAGAGAATAATAGGCAGAATGCAAGAGTTAACGAATCGCAGGAGTAAGAGTTGGGTTATACCAGACTGTATTAACTTCTTGTTGTAGAAGGTAGGACGGAATATTTTTTTTAGAAATCATCGAGATATGAGACAATCAGGAAAGATCAGCAGATAGAATGACGCCAAGACTCTTAGTTGTTGGGAGACAAGAAAAGTGTTTTGAAAGTCATATATTTTACACAACAACAATCTAATAGCAATAGAATATGGGATGGACTACAGACAGAGATAAATGTCGTACGATAAAAACGTATATGCCTTAGACTTGAAGTTTCTTTTCTTTTGGATAGTTCACAGTTTGGCAGATGTATTCCTATAAGATGTCAAATAGTAAAGCGGTCAGTTGTCGTTAATTTGTGTGCATCAGTGACGCAGTGGTAGAATGCTTGCCTAAAACTCATGTGGTAAGGGGTTCAATACCCGGCCACCGAATCACTCATTCACCTCACTAAGCCAGTAATAAAACTGATAACAAGGGAAGGTTGACCATGAAGCTAGCAACCTCATCCCGTTAAAATAAATACCACTGCTATTGAAACTTCAAGCCTCTAGCTTGAAGCCACCCTATGTTCCACTGGGAACGTAAAGGAATAAATTTTCTTTTAAAAATATCGTTAATTTCTTCAGTTCTCACTTCCTTATGAAATTGAGTACATTTCACAGAAAAATAATAATTTAAATTTTTGTTACGCATCACACTGCTGTGATACACCGATTTTCACCCAGGTATATGCATAGTCTCACATTTATCCCTGTTTAAATAGAATTTCATGGGTATACGTTACCAATTTCGAAACACATTTACACACCTACATATTTATTGTTTGTTTTATATGCGAAAAAACATGACTCTACCATTTCATTCACTATCTGTATGTAAGTCTTAAATAACTGGTATTTTTCTGTGCTTAACCCGGTGCTTCAGTATAGAAATGCTTGGTTAATATGGCTTGTTCTTTGAAGGAAACCAGTTAAATGCAGAGAAAAGATCACAAATTTGTTTCTTAATTAGCTCGGAAAATTGATTCCACTAGAGTTAGGGTCACAGTTAGCTTACGATGAACGGATTGATATCAAATAAAGGATCGTATAATATGAAGATATGAACAATTATTTGCTGACATCAATGTAAGTTAGCCAGTTTAATTCTTCTTCATATGGTCTCACCTGAAAGTGGAGACGTATTTCACTCAGTGAATGTTTATGTAACTGAAGTTAAAGACCTTTCAACCAGTTGCGTTGATAGTATTAAAGAAACAGTTACGCCCCACTGATTCTCCTAAAAGCTGTGCGAAGCCATTATTAAATAATGGAAAGGGAAAACACGAATGGTGTCGAAGCCTTATACCTCAGATGGTTACGTGCCAGTAGGGGGTTAAAGATTTTCTTAGTGAATTTCATGACCAGTATTAGGAAATTCTGCATACTTTATTTAAAAGATTTGCATTTCTGCATAAATTTTAAAATACCATACGCACACACTGAACCCTTAACTGTTGTTGTAAGTATATGAAGGGAAACAGTTATTATCAATTTTTTAGTTCTGCAGTAGAACAAATGTCTACAGTAGCACATTGCCATTTCTCCCGGTTCTCTATTGTCCTCTCTAACTGGTTGTGCAGTTGTCGGCAAGCCTTCACTCCCCTCTTACTCGATATCCTCCGTGTTACCCTCTGATCCACACCCAATTCGTTGAGTTTCGTTCAGGCTCCACTTCAGCGCCCGGTGCTACATGTTACCCAATGATCCGTTTCAATTTGCTCATGGAAATCTGTTGGGGGACAGACTATTCGCTGGTCCGTGGTCAGAGTTCTCTAATTTTTTCGGTATCCGACCTGATCTTCACTTTCCACTAAAGGGTACTACTAAAAGTTCTCAGACTGTTGGAAATGTTTTGGTCACGAGCTCGCCAAGTCCCTTAATCATACAGAACTATTGACTTGACATCAGTTTTGAGAAACTGGATCGTGTTACTGGGGCCGAGTTCATTACTCCTTCATTACTTCTTAAGGTTAGACTGATGTCCTATCTCCACTGCCTTTTCTGACAACTTGTCAGTTCTCTTTAGTAAGTTTCAGAAATTATGCCACACGAAACCTAATTCACCTGTGAAATTCATATCTTCTAATGTCTTTTTGTTATTCCACGATATGCTCGTCTTCTCAGTCCTAGAGCTCTGCCGTGTAAAACAGTTTAGCATCATTCAAAAGATCTCCAATAATAGTCGGGAATCTCGCTTTACTCTTGATCTCACCTGAATCGCTTCACTGAGCCTCTTGCTGTGAATCACTTGAAATACGGCATCATCATTTAACTAATGAATGATGTTTATAAACATGTGTCATAAAACACTCGGTAGTATTGAAAAAGATTTGGAACAATTTAACAGTAGATTCTACCGTAGGTCTTTTCAAAGGCGATGGAGTTAATGGAAAGGGTGTACTGTCATTTTATGCTCTGTTAGATGATAACGAAAAGAGTTGCAATTCCAATCATACATAATATACTTTCCCCAAATTTAGCTTGTTCCGAGTGAAATTTGCTTACAAGGCATGTTTTAGTCTCTCCAGGATGATGTTGCATAATATGTTTTCCTAGGATGAATATGAAGATGATTCAACGAGAGATCTTGGAGATGTCTAATTGGCCTTTCTTTGGGAGTTTGAAAAGCTAGCATTCTTCTGATCCCCCTACAAATTCTCCACTACTTGAGTGGAAATATCCACTCGGGTCTTTGGATCTGCCTCCAGTGTTTTCAGAGGAATTCCATCTGGTCCTATTAACTGCCTAGCTTTCAAAAGCTCTATGGTATTTAGAACTGCTGCCAGTGTTCATTTAGAGTTCTATGGGTTTTGGATGGGTTGTGCGCTATGATAGGTTAAGAAGTCCCTTAAATTTCGTTTTCTTTTGTTTCTCCACCTTCGTAATTAGGTTCTCTTCACTATCTTTCACTAGCTTCTTTTATGCTGATCTCTTGCCAGATGAAGAACTGGTTATCAGACATATTCTTCTCAGGTCTATCTCTAACCTATAATGAGTCATTTTTCGGTTGGCTATGTGTTGCGTATTTGTCTTTTGTCTTTCTCCTCAGTCCTCTTCACCTCCTTACTTGATGTGATAAAGATTTAACTCAGGTTCCCACTCTGCTTCCCGACTTTGCATTAATTCATCTATTGTTTCTTAATCTACCTCTCTTCTACTAGCTGTCAGTTGTTTGTAGCGAAACTTTCTTTGTCTTGCTTTTCCTTCTTTCCTGGAATATCATACAACCTACCTTCATTGTTATTTTTAGAGAGTTTTAGTGTCTCTACAAGCTGGTTTCCTCTATGATGCTGCCAAACGGCTCTGACTTTTTCCTGATGACTGCATTTAAACTGTCTCTTGTAGTTTGGTTTCTGGGTGTTGAACTTCAATTGTAGTTTAACGCCGGTGTTTTTTTGAAGGCTTTCAACATGACTTTGAAGGTTACTTGCACCAAATTAAAGTCCCAGCCGACATCTATTTCTCTTCACTGTTTTGTGTCAAGCAAACTGCGTATATAGTTTCTTGATTTTGCAATGATGTCTATCTGATTTTCAATGTGTCTATCTGGTAAAATCCATGTTGTCATGTATATATCGCTGTATACACTACCTCTAATTACCGATTTGATGAATGTGCAGAAGTTTGTGTAGAGGTCGCAGTTTTTTTCTTTATTTCTCTGACAGCCTTCCATTTTGATGTCATGTGAATAATTTTATCAGCATTACTAGACTCATAGATCCGCCCCTATGTTTCATAAGTTACGTGGTGGTTTCCAAGAAGAAGAGCATCTAGTTTTCGAGTTGTTTTATATAAGTATTATTCGCAGTGGAATATGGCGCTTCAACAGCAAGTTACATTCCACTCTGTTCTCAACATAACTTTTTAGATGGCTCCACGGTTCTCCCATTAGATTTAATCTCCTCCTCACAGAATCTCCTCCACGTCACCCTCGGACACCCAAATCTTTGTTTCTCATTCGGAATCTACTGGATGTCACTCACTTACTTCCACATCCTTCGGCACGTATGCTGAGCAGTAGTTTCTCGGTTGATTCACTAGTTCACTGTTTTA